GTGTGTTTTACATATTGGGCGCATAGACACGTCTCCTGAGTAGATTCGTTTTTGTAGTTAAATTAGAAAGAGGCTGGCACAAGCAATTCCAGAGGATGATAGATCTGTACTGAGCCTTGTGGTTATTCTCCTGAATGCAAAATCACCCTTGGGGAACTCCAGTACATCTCTGTCTCTTTGGTTCTCAGTACCCCCTTCTCCTTAGGTTATGAAATCTGGAGTTGTGTTTCCAGAGCAGCAAGGCTAACAAGGAGTTCTCACCACAGTGTTTTATTCTGAATTTCCCCACCCTTTCCCTGGACTGTAGTGGTTCTGCCCCTGAAGAGCCCATGCATTCCTGCCAGAGCTGAATCAGATGCAAAGTCAAGGAGGAACCTTCAGTGCAATTTCTCTGTGTTTGGTATTAATCCTACCAAAGTGATGACTGAGGATGTCCAAACGCTTTGTAAAGCCGTGGACCAGCTCTATTCAGCTGGTGTAAATCAGCATAGTTTCAATGCTATTAAGACTGTGGCACTGTCAGTGCACCTGTGCTGATTTCCAGCAGCTAAGCACGTGCCCATTGCTATCCTCTCCCACTGCTTCAAGTTTCCCCACAGAAAGGTTCCCAGGGTCCCTGCCTATAACCAGGCTTACAGTGGTCATGTACTGGTGTCTTAGTGGGAGCAGAGGACCCTGAAACATCTGTCTAGCATGCCAAAGGCCCAGTTCCCCAGCTTGGGGATTGACAGAAGTCATCCCTTTGAATTGTGTCTTCTCCTGCTTTCAGTGGATGAGGGCCAGGTGGACTTCTGACCCCTGCTATGCATTTTTTGGTGTGGATGGCACAGAATGCTCCTTCCTCATCTACCTCAGCGAAGTTGAGTGGTTTTGTCCTCCGCTGCCATGGAGAAATCAGACAGCAGCCATGCCTTCACCCAAGCCACTGCCCAAGGCACAGGTAAGGTCAGTGCAGGCATGTGAATCAGGCTAGCACCATCTTTTAGGAGTATTTCTCTGAGGGCTGCTGGATTCAGAGTCTCTACATGGTAGAGTGAGAAAGGCAAGGAGATGCAAACGGTGCCAGAAGAAAACCTATATGAGGGAGACCACTGAAGCAGAGGGCCTTGTATTATGGATGCCTATATGTTCATATCAGACTGGAGGCATTATTAAACCCACAAGCACAACCTTCTACTGTAACACTTGGCATCCATTATAATGGGCTGTAGCACTGCTGTAGCAAAGGCTGAACTCAGTGCCTTAGTTTAGTTCTCTTACCCTAAGCCAGGGGTGCTCAACCTCTAGCCGACAGCACCACGTCATCTGACCTGTGGAGCTCCCCCTGGGTCTGTAAATTTGGTGGCAGGAGAGCAGAAGATGGTGGTGCCAGACCCATGGGACCCAATCCTACAGCAAAGGGGGGCAAAAGGGGGTGGTGCTGGCCCCATGGAACTCAGTCCTGGCATGAGGGTGCAGGAGGGGGCAGCACTTGGGACCCAGTCCCAGTGCATGGGAGTCAAGAGGGGGTGGTGCCAGGCCCCAGGGACCAGTCTGGCCTGCAGACAGTCCAGTCCAGCCCATAGACAGGCTCTGGGACACTCATTTGGGGCAAAAGGCTGAGCACCACTGCCCTAACCCATTTGTTTGCTGAGATCATTCAATTGATAGACCTGTGACTACCTGCTTTCTGTGCAATAGTGGGTTACTAGACAGAAACGACCACATTTCCACACATGGATTTGGTGTTTTCAGAGGCTGCAGTGCCAGTGATAGATTCCTCGTGTCTGGTGGGGAGCCAACCAATTAGTTACAAGAAGGCAAAATACACTTGGAGAGCTGGTGTACACAAGCTACACATCAACCTGAAGGTGTGATAGTGGCATGGGTAGGCCTGCCCATGCTGGCTTTAATCTCTCCAGCCTGGGTACCACAGGCAGTGGACCCCCAGTTGCATGCACTTCAAGATGTCTGGGGACTGTGGGTCTATGCTGTGGCTGCTGCTCTGTGCTGAAGCCCAAACTACCATGTCTTCACTGCATTTTTATCTATGCTGCCTAAACTAAAGCCAATGCAGGCAGGCCTACCTCTCCTGCAGTCGCACCTTCTTTGTCCTGGGTTGGTCGAGCCTCTAGCTTTGATCAAATATGTGTGAGAGATATAGGGTAGGAGATTAAGTGTTTTGCCTGACAACTTTTTCACTTAATGCCAGCACTTTTGGCTATTCCTCTGTTCTGACTGGAATCACAGGAGCGGGGTGTCCCTGTGCTTCTGAGTGGACATTTTGGAAGCATAAGGTGTGGGCTGCTAAGGCTCTTGCCTGCAGCAAGAGTGTCCTCACTTGCTCTCCTCCATTCTCTAGTTAACTTTCTTCAGTGCCCTAGATGCATTCAATTCATTGCACCCAGCTCTGAAAGTCTGTTCCTCTTGCTAGGTCACTGTGGATATGGCAAGAGTAGAGAGCTGATGTTAATAAGAGAGAAGTTCCTTCTGTGTAATGCATCAACCCTGTCCCTGACTGCTGCTCACCTTGCCCATGTGTTTCAGAAAGACTGGGAATTGGACTTAATGAGGGACTTCTGCATTAGTCAAGCTCTTCCTCCATCCTCCTGCTAGAACTTGGCACCTCTGAAAATATCGCCTTACCCAAGACCTGAGTCCTCCCCACAGGTGACTTCTCCTCACAGTGAGATGTCCAGAGCTCAGAGAGACTAAGTTCCCATAGTCCTGTCTGGCAGTAGTTGTGCCCCAAGAGTTCCTCTCCTAGTTGCTTTCCCTGAGATCCAGCAGGCCCTACACTAAAAAAAAGCAGAGTCTGTGTCTTTCCTAGGCAGCTTTTCGGAGCGACCTCTCTTACCTCCTTGAGCTGATTGGGAGCGGTAAGGAATCACTGATCTTCATGAAGAAGAGGATCCGGCACTTGGCCATGCAGTGGATTCTAGCAACCCGACGCCTGGAGCAGAAACTGAAGGGCAGACGGAGGGATCAGAAGCAGGTACCAGATGAACTGTTTGTGGGAGCCCTTTGTCCTGGGCTGTTGGAGAAGTTGCAGTGCTCATGATGTGGAAGAATGGCAGCAAATAAGAGGCAGTACAAAATGTTGAGAGGAGGGTACAATTAGCCTGTGTGTTTGGTGGGCCAGTAGGGGGCGCTTCTGTGCTGAGCCACCCACCTCACTGCACCCAACCACCTACCAAGCTCCAAGTGCCTCCTCTGGGGTGCCTCACATCTGCCCAACCCCCTTCCAGGAGCATACCCGCAAGCCTGGGGTAACCGCTGCCACCACCCAGGGGTCTGATCTTTATTAGAGCCCTGTGCCCTCTAGGGTACACAGGCCTTGTAGACCTTGAGGTTGCTTGATCCACTGCAAGAACGTGGAATGCTTCCTTAAGCCTGAAGCACAGATAGTAGCCTCCCTTAGTCAGACAAGCATAGGGAGCATAAGGCACGCCCCAATCCTTCTCCCAGCAAATCCACCAAGCTTGTTATATAGGAGAGCTTTATTGGTTAAAGAGGGTAGGCTTGGGGAAGGGTACAGGTTAGAGAAGTATCGCAGAATAGCCCAGAGCAAACAGTACCAACTTAGTTGCCTTTTGACACGCCTCTGCATTACGGTAAGCTATATTTCTAGATAAGTTTCAGGTAAGTTACTCACATGTTCATCTGCAGCGTAGAAGAGCTCCAGAGGCTGTGTGCTTACTCCATGTTCTCCAGTATGGCTCCCCACCTTCCAGGAAGAAGGGACCTTAAATAACCTTTCTGACTTCATCCCTTGGACCAACGATAGATCAGTATTCTCAGACCATGGCTGACACTGGTTGGTCAGTTTAAAAAATGTCAGCACCCTCGGGTGAGAGTTTAGGGTTACACAAGACAGAGGACGAGCAGGTCCCCCACATCAGGAATTTGCAACCTTGTTACCATGGAGACTAGGTGCCTTCCACAGCCAGAGTTTGTAACCAGAGTGGGGGGTTTTGGGCTGTAGCCCTACATCAGTGAGACAGGCAGGCAGAGAGGTTTATTCCTCCACAGTGCCCACCAGTAAGTTGACTTTGTCTGGCCTTTGAAGACCATGGGCAGGTTGCTAGGTGCATTCAACCAACCAACATCTGAACTGAACTCTATGTACATTCAACCAACCCCTAACCATCATCTGAACTGAAAGCCAGACTGAGTGTCTGGTAGGGACACTGGCAGCCAGGGCTTGTTTCCTCTTTCTGGGCAGACTATCCTAGATCTTATTTATGGGGAAGTGAAGACTAAGCCAGGAGTCCAGCTGTTGACACTGTATTGGGTGTAGATATAGGCCATTCTAGGGCGCCTGGTTCCTTATGTAAATAGGGAAAGGCCACCCTAAAATCCATGGCTGAAATTCTATGGTGCATTCACGTTCATTATGCTGGCAAATGGCCCTGATCCTGATTGGTGTTGAGCACTCACAACTTGATCACATTCAGTGGGTCCAGATCTGAGGAAGGGGTGTTGAGAGCCCACATTGTCCACTGAAGTCAATGGAATCTGTGGGAGCAGGACATCTCTGCCTATCAGGCTTCTTTCCGCATTTACTCAAATCTAAGATGACCCTGAATTTGAGACAACCCCCCCATAATTAGATTCTATACATGTAAAAAATTATAAATTTGTTATAATTCTGCTTGTGTAGAATATAATTATTGGAGGGATATCTTTAATGCACCGCTGCAGGGGGCAAGTGGTATGGGGAGGTCAAGCAGCTTGCCTTCTGCCTGTGCCTGTCCCCCTGCCACCTCTGCCCTCTGCCTGCCCCCCACAAGCCTCAGGTCCCCCTTCCCCCCCAAAAGTGTCTGCTCCTCCCACCCCCAGCCTCTGTTTCACATAGGCAGGCTTCATCCCTATTTCAGCCTGGAGCATGTCCCCAACCTGGCCCATGGCAGTCATGCGGGCTGTGTGCTGCTGCTACAGGTCTGGGCTGGGGCTATGCTCGATGCCCCAGGCTGAAGCATGCGTGGAGTCTGCCTGCACAGCGCATGAGTAAGGCAGAGAGAGAGAGGGACAAGTGGGGGAGCAGAGGCTGCATGGGTGGTGGAAATGATGAGAAGAGTCTGCAGTGGGGAGATGGCAGGGTACAAAGGCAGTACAGGTTGCAGGGGGCAGACAGCAGCTGCAGTTATGGGCCTCCCCTGGGTAGGGGTTGGAGTTGAGCCACAGCAGCCCTGTGTCATGTCCCCCCCCCAATACTTTCTTTGTACTCAGTTGTAAGATGAGGGGCTTCCTTCCCCCATGTAAAATGGGAGGGAAACCCTCCTCTTAGAATTGATTAAATGTGGTACTGTGGTGCCTAACCATGGATTTGGTTGCCTTTTCAGCCTGAGAGTTTTGCTTGAGTAAAGATGGAATAAAAACCTGGATAAGGACCTAGGAGTTTGGAGTCAGTAGAGTAATTAGGGGTGGGCAAAGGGGGCACATAGCCTGAGTTTTAAGGGGTGGTCTGGAATCAAGGCTTGTGGGCACTGGAAAGGATGCAACTATGCTGCTAGGCAGATAGCTACACATTGGGCGCTGTGGAGAGGGCTAGGAACGAAGCAGAGATGTCGGGGAGACTCTTCAGTGCTGGCAGCTAATTGCTTAGGGGAAAGAAGCAGGGCGTGAAGACATGGATGCCCCCCGCCCTGCCCACTGCCAAATTAGGGGCTTTATTTATTTGCTCAGCATGGCATTTGGCAGCACCTGTTCGGGGGCGGGGGGCAGACAGGAGGCTTAACTTCTTAGCTGGTGGACACTATCCCCCACAGCTGCCAGGGCACTAGAACTGCCTGGGCTTCACCTGATGTCTCCTTCCCCTCTGTGCAGAGCTGGAGTCTGCAACTGGAACCTAAGAGCCCCTCACCCCCTTCACTCCTTAGGCCCTGGAGACCATACAGAGGCACAGGTATGCTCCTGGGTGCCCTGGGTGACAAAGGAGCTCACTACCCCCCTGTTTGGAGTACTAAGTAGCTTCTGTTATATACACCAGAACTAAGTAACCTTGTTTCCACAGACAGTAAACTCACTGGAAAATGATGTGTTGGGTAGATAGAAACTTTTTGCAAATTTGGGTCATGTTTGATGACTAGCTTCAGCTGTAAATGTTGGAAATACTGAAACATTTTGTCCCAACTGTTTTTCAAAGAAATTTTTCAAATGTTTGTTTCAAAATGGCCTTTCTATTTTAAAATGGACTCAAAAAGAAAAAAAAAATCAAGCAAAAGGGTTAAATAGCTTGAAAACAAAGCAAGACGCTTTGTAGGTTATTGCCAAATGATGGTTTGTGTTGTTACCAAAGGTCCAAAAGGGTCTGTTTAGGTTCAACCTGAATTTTTTGTTTGGCCATGAAAAACTAGATCTGGTATGCAGTCATTACTTCTGAACAATTTCTATAGATCCAGGTCTACAGTGACTTAGTCATGAGAACATCCTCCTCTCTCCTTGTCTCTAGATTTTGGTTCATATTGGCTTCCTGACTGAGGAATCAGGGGACGTCTTCAGCCCCAGAGTGCTGAAGGGAGGGCCTCTGGGTGAGATGGTCCAATGGGCAGACATCTTGGCAGCCCTCTTCATTCTGGGACACAGCCTGAAAGTCACAGTCTCTTTGAAAGAGCTGCAAAGGTGGGTGCCACATTGATGTCCATGATCAGGTGGGGTTACCTGTTGGGCTGGTGTTCGTGTTCCTGGGTGGTAAAATGTGCAGGGTTGGCATTTTGAATCGGCATCTCCAGCCATTCGAGGGTTAATCTGAACTCATGTTTTCACAGTTGTTGGGAGCCAGGGCACACAATTGTGTGTGCTGTCATAGACCTTGTTGTGCTGCGTATTTACCCTCAGTTCAGCCATTGCTGTTATGGCACCAGTGTAAATGTAGACAAGGAAAGGCCTGATGGGGGCAGTTCACCCTGGCTTCCAGGAGGTGTGGATGGACTGATGCCCCGATTCTAGTACGATGGCCGGGGTTTGCTGTGGTGCGGTTTCACCAGAGGTCGGACACTGATTATCGAAATCTCCAGTGCTGGCAAAGCCAGAGAACTTCTGGGGCAGATCCTCAGTGGGCATGAGCCATTGTGACTCCACTGTTTACTCACCAGCTGAGGGTATGCCGTTCCTAGGTGCGTGACTTGAACAACATGTTACTCTTCAACTGGTCAAGGGTTCCTGGGACCACTGCAGGCAGCCCAGCCTGAAAAACTAGCATCTGTCCTTGTCTCCCCCAGCAGTGAGCTGAGGAACCTGCCTTTTTCCAAGAACCACTCCCATGAATGTGGGATTTGTGCTGTATAGAATTGGGAACTTGGGTCCTGATTTTTCTTTCAGCTGACCATGGTGTCAGTTGGGAGTAGCACACCCAAATCTGACTGAATGACGCTGGTGTAGAGCCAGTGGAAGTAAGAAGTGAAACAGATGACTGAAGTGACTGCAGGATGAGGAGGAAGGCTCTGGTCCAAGGTTGCTTTTCTAGACAGGAAAGTCCTCCTCTTTGGTTTCATTTAGCCTGGTCTTTCATGTGCAGCCTTGCCAAGTTACTCAGCCCAGACAGTTTGATGGCAGCATGGATGGAGGAGGTAGGTGTGCAGCAGTCCAGCATTCCCATTTTGCTTCCACTGGCTGTGCTGGCATTGTTTAACAGCAATCATGCTACCCTCAGTAAGCCTGGTTCCTGCCCTGCCCTGCCCTGCCCTTCTCATCCAGAAGCATTGAAAGACCTTTTCACAACATGCTCAGGGTTGAGGGGGTGGGGACTGAATCCTGGGTATGCACCAGAAACTGCTTCACATTTACACTGAAGCCTTGGCACAACATCAGAGTGATATAAAGGCAGAGACTTGGCCTAAGGAGACCAGAGTGTAAATGACCCACTGGGTTTTACTCACTGGATCTTCTGGCTTGATTTTTCAAGAGCACCGAGTGCCTGCTTTCCCCTGCTAGCTCCTCAAATCAGGCCAGCTGTCATCAGAGATGGAAAAGAGCTATTAATTCCTCTAGCCTAGTGGCCTCTCCAAGAGCAAGATAGTTCCTGGTAGTGTCTGATGTGGGGCTCTGTCCAGTACAGTTCCAAATGCCTCCAGTAGTGGGGCCTTACACTAAGATCCAGGCATTTTTCAGGGACCAGCTGATCTCCTATAGATGTTCTCTAAGGACATTTCCAGTTTACAATTAAACAGGTTAAATGGCTCAATGCAGACTTGAGCATCCCTTGTTCCAGCACTGCTCTCAGAGAACTTCAGCATGGCTATGTATATGCCCTGACCCATCTCTTCGGCTTTATCACTGGTCTCTGGAAAGGAGCAGCAAGGGCCTATTTTGTTGGTGGCAAATCCAGGTTTGGGAGGAAAGCCATATAGATGTGCCCTAAGTCTTCTGAGCTCCCTTTTGTCTTGTTGGTATTTCACTCCTTGTGCATGTTTGCTGGCAATAATACAATCTTTGCTAAGCGGGCCGTTGAAAGGACACAGGGCTCTATCACCACATTTATCCCCAATAGCATGTCTGTATCTGCTATCCAAGTCCCCAGGCACACAGGAGACCCCCCTCTGCTTGTACCATCCCAATGTTTTCCCCTAAAGAGTGATCCAGACCTACAGGGCAAGGGGCAGCAAAAATATAAAGGCAGGAGGCAAAACACAGCAATCTAAAGCTGCCCCATTGACTAATCAGTGTTTGGGCAATACTAAGCCACAGCTTGCCACATAATAATCCATGCTGGAAAGTTCATCAGAGGAGGAGGGGCGGGAGGGGGGGAAGACCCAACCCAACCCAACCCAACCCCTGCAGCATTCAGAATTAACGAGAGGAATTTGCTTCTGAGTAATTATCTCAGAAAATCATCCAGGGCTTAATGCAAAGCACAGCAGCTTCTGTAAGAACCACACACTTTGCACAAAAATCTTCAGGTCAGACTACATGCTGTGCACCAAGGTACGCTGCTGTCAAAATAACATTTGCATACACTAGGGTGACTGAAGTTAATGCCTGTTTTTTAAATGAAGATCCTCACAGGTGTGGTTAATGGCAGGGAAGACTCAGCTGACTCCTAGAGGAGTCGTTGAGGAGTTTGCTTTCAGCAGCAAGTGACTCTGCCACAACAGCCTGCAACGTCGTCTGTGACTTTTCGCCATTCTCCAGAACACAGTAGCTTAGACATCCATTAGCAAAAACAAAATCCCCTGCTCTGCACTGATGCTGGTGCTCCCCTGAGACACCTCTGTATGAAGCCCTGAAAAACAGCCATGTATTGGCAACTATTCTCTTCCCATTCCCAGCCAGGACTGAGAGCAACAGAGTGACTGGATCAGTACAGCAACACTGCACGCTCCTGCCTGCAGTAGAATACAGCCTGGAAATGTTTCTGCTTCTGCTAAGTGGATTTTACTGAGCAGTGGGCAAGCCGCGAAGAGACTCCAGCTTGACCTATTTTGTCTCATGGTTCATCCCGAGGCCAATTTCTTTCTTGGCCTTTTAACCTTTCTAGCACTCTTTCCTGGTAATGGAAGCCAATGCAGCTTCTCTCATCTGGCTTGGAAATACAGAGCATACATTTGTGATGAAATTACACATTACACTTGGACCGTTCTATATTGTGGAACGGTGAAGTTAGCATATGCTATTAGGAGTCCCAAACTGGGGGATAATACTGTTTCTATACTGCATAGCTCTGACTTGCCACTAAAGGGCTGGTGAGCAGGGGCTTGGTTAAGAGCCAGGGCACTGGGCTCTATCCCTGCTCTGGTAGGAGTGTGGGGGCTGGGAGTGGTGCATTCTGGGATGCTGGAGGACTGCAAAATGCTTGTTGTATCTCTGTGGAGCAGACTGAAGTTACCCTAACATGAGCTAGGTAGCATGGCCAAGAGTCAACCTTGCCTGAAGTGGCATAAGTTTGAGATGCTCAGTTAGCACAAGTTAACCATCTTGAATGTGTGGATGCTTGTGTTCTAAGTGCCCTTAGTATGGTCTAAGTGTAACTTAGTGCCCCAAAGGACTCAGCAAGCAGAGGGAGTAATAATAGTAGAGCAGCACACACCTTCTCAGCAAAGACAAGTATGGTGTACGCACAACTGGACTCAACAGGTACCTTTACACTGCCGTGACTGCAGCTCCTGCAGCCATATGCAAGCTGGCTAGATTGGGTTTTGCTAGGGATGCAGTCACAGTAGCATGGAGCTCAGTATAGATTGCAAAACCTGCCCAAGAAGCTGCATACATACTTGGGTGGCTTTTCTAGCCTGTGCTAAGCTCCCTGCTGCCACAGTTAGACTGTGTGTAAGAATGCCTCTCCCCCGCTCTACCACCCAGTCCTATTTGCATCGCCAAACCTGGAAATACACCCATGAAACTGTCCCCTGCAATGGCTACTATAGAACATGAATGGCACATTGTTTCAGGAGCAACTGGGGAGGGAGAAGGGTGGAGAAATGTCCTCAGAGTGGCTTCATCAGTACATGTCTAGGTTTGGATCAGGTGGGAGAGACCACACGTAGGGGCATCCCAGCTAAACCATGCTGCTGTCATGGCGTGTAGACAGTTACCCTACAGGGACTGCAGTGATTGTCCTGTAGATGTATCCAGATTTCCTTCTGAGGTGGCATCTGTCACATAACGTGTAGGGGCACATTTAGTGCACAGACTGTGTAGGCTGCTTCCTCAGAAAGCTTGTGTGTCAAGGTCTCAGGTTAAGCTTTATCTGCTGCTGCTGCTCTGCAATGAATGAGAGATCTGCAATGAATGATGTCCTTGGGAACAGCTGCTTATTCATATGAGATCTGGATGGGCATAGAAGGCATGTTAGACTGGAATTGAGGTGCAAGGTGAGCCTTCTAAGAAAGCAGCCAATTCTTTAACATGATATTGGAGTATGTTTATAGTTGCCAGTTAAATTGCTTGCTGTTTATACACAGTGCCCCTGTGGTGCTGATAGCTTTACAGCCAGGTATAAAGGCAAGAGCTCTTTGCAGAAGTATTTTGGCTTGTGTGGTCTTTGCGTGTGTGTGAGAGAGATACAAAGAGTCTTGTGTGTGTGTGTGCATGCGTGTGCACATGCATACGCACACACACACGTGTACAAGAGAGACACACACAAGGAGCCTGTCCCTTAGTAGCATAGGAAAGGAGAGGTGATTGGGGCACCATCCCTTGGCTCCGACCCCAAGGAGGGACAAAAAGAAGTGCCTACACTTCTGGACCAGTTGCTGCCAGCTAGCAATGCTGCCCCGTGCATTTATGCCACCCAAGCCATTCAGGAGTCACATTTTGCCATGGCATTCCCTGCTGAACACCCTGCACAATGACAAGGGACAAGCTCTATCCTCTACACTCAAGCCAGTCCGGGGGCCTGAAGCAAATTGCTCCAGGGGGACGAGAGAGCAGGAGGAAGCCATGGGTTAACCAAGGGAGGGACTCACAGATGCGCAAGTTTCCATCTTCCCTAGGGGTAAGACTCTAAGAAGAAAGGGGAAAAAAAAGGCTTCAGTCATTGAGGGGAGAATCATTGGTGCCCAGCCAAAGGTACTGGTAGTGGAAATGGAGGTGGGTAGGATGGACATTGGTGAGGTTAGAAAAGACCTCTCCTCTCTCCTCCCTGGGTTTGGCCATAGCACTAGTTTAAGGGGAGGAGAGAACAG